GTGCGATGAGATAGGTGAATATGAAAAGCGTGAATATTTGTGAAGGTTGGATAGTAGTCAAATGTGATATTCAACGAAAGTACGGTTCGATTCATTTGTCCATCATAATTCAACCATGTCGTGTTAAGCAATAACTCAAGGAAAAACACGTTAATGTTTCAAAAAAATCAACAGAAATATTTTGTTTGATATATTTCGAAAAGATTTTTTGTTCATTATGAGATAAAAGGAAAACGTTTTAGCGATGCAAAAATACAAATTATACTACAGATTTTTCTACGATATATTAAATATATCAAGTCTATAACAATAAATGGAAAGTATTTCTCTTCTCATAGACAAGAATATTATAGAGAATCAATTGTTTCTTTACTTCGTTTTATGTTCATATTTCGCTTTTTTTATCGTAAATATAAATAAAATCGAAAAACATTGATCTCCGATTATTTTTCACAATTTATCCAAGAAAGAATTGGATGAATCTCCCAAATACAGTGATCAACAGATAACTTCATAGAGAAAAGAAAGAAAAAAACTAAACACTGATATAATAAGACAAAGTTTCATGTAAATGAGACGTTTAAACGATAGAGTATCAAAGATAAGGTTTCATTGATGTACTTATTAGAATATAGAGATATTTTGTGTGACCAAATACATATTAATTGAAGTGAAAATTTCTTAGTCTGTCAAATAAAAAAAATAATTGATTTATTTAAATCTAAACTTCATTGTAGAAAAGTATTTTTCCTCATCTCGCTGAATATTATGAATAAATATATAAAATCAATCCATAACAATGCATAAGTGATGATAGAATTCGACAAACAATGATACTTGTGACTTAATTGGACTCAGAGATGAAATTAGATTTATCAAATCGAATACAAGATACAGTTATGTCACTTATCGTCAATCAATTAAGACAATAACAAGAAATCTTGATTAAGCATTTATTTCACATTCGAATATCTGATTCTTCGATTTAAGGAAGTGATCTAAATGACTTTTTTAAAACACACACATGTCATAAAATATGTCTAAAGGCCAAATTTTTGCGATTTTTTTCACTCGTCCGTATTTTTTCGATAGAATGTTCATATTTATGTAATGCATTCGATAGACTTTTTTAATTTCTAATTCTAAAAATTGTTTTTTTTTTAATATAAATGAGACAAATAGAGAGTCCAATGAAACGATTGATAATTTCATTGATTTTCTTCAGTCCAATTCGGTGCTCAATAAAGTAAATAAAATGAGAATTATTATTTATTTGTGAAAAGCTTTTTGCAAATGAATTTTAATGAAGTTAATGAGACGATGTCATATTTGTCATACGAATCGACGAACGAATAATTCTTGTTGGATTTTGTCGCCATCTATTGAAAATAATATTTCTCAATGAAGTTGACATTAAAACCATTTCTAGACTGAAAAACAGCCATAGAGACTTCCGCTCCAATCTATAAAATATGATAAAGTAAAGGATCTTCAATTCCTGTAATGAAAAGAAGAATTAAAAGAACCATTGCTGGAAGTCCGATTGTTAATAATAAAGGTAATATTGATAAAAAATATATGCTGAATTGCAGGTAAATCACGTTGTTGTCTTCATTTGATTTGAAATATAATAGTATCGGATTGATAACGAATAAACATTTATATACGAATATAAATGAGAGGAAGTTCATAACAAGTAAAAACAGCCAAAAGAACACTGTATGTTATTCGGAATGAAACACAACAAAAATGATCATTTGGTGAATGAATAACATTTTTCCAAATTAAAACAGGAAATAAAAGGATAAGACCTCCAATTAATTGTATTGGAGTTTGAAAAACAACCTTTTCGAGAAAAGAAATTTTCATCAAACAAAAAACGTAGTGGAAAAGCTAGCAGTGGATTCGAGTAAATCCTGCTGACGTTCGCTTCGCTCGACGACTTGTGATGGATTCGAAACTCCTGGGACATGATGGAACTCCGCGATCTCTAAAAACCTGTGTAACAACACGGTTCTGTGAGACTGCTTCAGACCGAAAAATGTCAAAGAAACGACCCTAATCCGTGAAAAGCCTGGGTTTCGTCTAAAACAGCTTTCCAATGAACCAAACGTTGGTTTCAAGTAGATCTTGACTACCGCTATTGATATCATATTTTATTCATCGATTTCTACTGTGCTGTCATCAAGAACGATGCTACATAGCAATAGATCAGCTACGTACATACCTTCCCTATCATTAATTGGTCCATCCTTGCAGATCAATAGAAATAAAGCAATGAAAAAGATTACAATTTTCAGAAATTTTATCGTGATAAATTGGCTAAAACTGTAATTATTGTTAGAATATTCTTTTTCTCTCAATTGTTTTATGTAATTCGAGCGGAAAACTATATATGCCTTTGTATGGTCTGTTTTCAAACAACCAACCACTGTTCTGAACTGATAGCCAGATTCTATAAGTTTCCTCATTGGTCAGTTTCTTCTGCTGAACAAAGAACATGAAAATAAATATGCATTGAAACAGAAAAACTTACGAGGGAGGTTCCCCAGTTGTTTAAGGCGTTTAGGTCCCATCTTTTGGCGACAAGTAGACCTCAATAAGATACGAAAAACCTCAAGAGGACTTGTGCCCTTGCGCCTTTATTGTTGAGATACCGAATTCTCGAGGTCCATGCAAACGAGACTGAATTGAAAAATGATCGTTTTCAGATAGTAACACAGTATTCAAGTGAAAATATTTCACAGCTTCGCATATCACTCGTGCAATCTATTCTGGATTTAGTGCTAGATAGTGTCTCATTAATAGCACTCCTGTAGGCTGTTTATCGGGGCACAGACGACCCATTACTCTTCATTTCAAATTGGATTCCGCTATGTATAGTAGAAAAGCGTGCACAAGAGTAAACCAGTAAACTTGATAGTTCAGACAAAAGTGCTTGAAACACAGTGATTGGTCACACCAGCTGGAACAGGTAAAAGGAGCTGCGTCGGATGAAGGTACAGCGCATATCGTTGCAGCGAAAAAAACAAACTTCACTCACTGTTTTGAACGATTCCGGATGTTTGTTTGCCTAGCCGATCGCATACCAATCATATTAGATCATCGGACAAAATAACTTAGGCGACAGTTGATTGTAAGTAGGAGACATGATGTGAACGATGTTATTTCGTTAGCTCTTGTTGACGTCAAGTTCATCGAGTAGCACGTGGTCGTATGATCGAGAAGGAATCATTTTCATCTTCCTGTTAAAAGAGACATCGACTTCGAAGATGTGGAAGTGACTGCCAGTAATTGATTCCAGCAACTTGCACAACAGATCGGCTACTTTACATTCACGATGTGCGACTGTAGTGGCGGAGGTCGCTCTATTTGATACAGTAGACGATAATTTTGATGCTCGATCAGCGAAAATCTTCGTAATGTTTGCGAGATTAATCATTTAGAAATTTATTTAAAGAAAGTAGGGAAGCGTAAACGAAGAACGCGTGTAGTTATCAGCTAGATATATTGGTATGCTAGCCAGAAAGATGAAAAGTTAATCGCTAACGTACATTTGGGTCTCAATAATTTTTCACAGAGCATAATTAAATCCAATTTGAAATGAAGAGTAATGGGTCGTCTGTGCCCCGATAAACAGCCTACAGGAGTGCTATTAATGAGACACTATCTAGCACTAAATCCAGAATAGATTGCACGAGTGATATGCGAAGCTGTGAAATATTTTCACTTGAATACTGTGTTACTATCTGAAAACGATCATTTTTCAATTCAGTCTCGTTTGCATGGACCTCGAGAATTCGGTATCTCAACAATAAAGGCGGAAGGGCACAAATCCTCTTGAGGTTTTTCATATCTTATTGAGGTCTACTTGTCGTCAAAAGATGGGACCTAAACGCCTTAAACAACTGGGGAACCTCCCTCGTAAGCAAAGCACTTATAAAGTCAATCTATGGTCGGTTTCTTGGATTAGTCAAACAGTTAGGGTTATCAAGGGATGGAACAGGAAAAATTTATTCGACGTCTGAACTTTACAGCGATTCTATCTTTTTGATAACCCCATTCTTGGACGCTAGATTTGGTTTACGATGGATTATGCATTCGAAACTACCGACTGAATTGAAGCTTCAATTGTGCAAAATGATCAAACGCTCGGTAGCCAATGCTGCTTTGCAGTCGCGGGGCGCGGGTCGACAAGAGCACAATGACACAATAGCCGAACCATTGCCAATTAACACGACCAACAGCAACAGTCCTGGTGTGAAAAGAAAGACTCTTTGGTGAACACCGGCGACAACAGCACCCGTGGAACGGGTATTTTCTGTCAGTGGATTCGTGATGCGACCACATAGAGTGTGATGTAGTATGGGATTATCCAAACACACATGACGTCATTAGGTATTTTCCTTGCGGGGTGTTGGACTTCTCCTTTACACACGTATATATATATTCATGTTTTCTATATATGTGTGTCGGATAGTTCTCTTTCTTTGACTTGTTCTCTTCTCTGTCTCTCTGTCTCTTTATTCAAGAATAAAGATCTTTTCTAATTATATATTCTGAATATATAATTCCTTGACCTTCGCATAGCAAGACGTGACATAGAGGACGCATTTCAAAAGAAATATTGGCTAAACTAACGTTTCGCAAGCGCAATATATATCTATTAAATTTGACGTAAATGCTTTTCTTTTGTTCAACTCTTCTCAATCGTATTAGTGTGTCATCTACTTGAAATTGGAATTTTGAAAACATTTAATAAAAAGAGAATATCACGAAGAAAATATCCGATTTTAGAGCCGGAGCGACCTGGTAAAATTTTTGTTTGGAGTCGAAGTCGAAATCGAAGTGGAAATCTATAACTTCAAGGTCGGAGTCGGAGCCGGGATATACCGGAGCTGCCCATCTCTGGCACACAGGCATACGTAAAAATTTTCATTTCTACCGAGCTCAGAATCGCTCCGACGCTACACCGCCGAAAAACAAAATATACTCTTCTTTCTCATATATTTTCTTCGTATTCAACTGCAGCCTGATACCTACGTAATTAAACTACACAAACCATCCACCCCTTCACATCTACACTCTTCATTCATACTCAATATCGTTCCTGAACTCCTAAGCCTTTGAAGTTGGGAAATTCTTTATGTCGAATATGACAGCCTAGGTCAGTGATATCTTCAATATTTCGAAAATGAATTTTCCGGAAAAAGTCATAACGCAACAAATCAATTCCATACAACAACAACAATCATGAATCGAAAGTCATCCTATTACAAAAAATTTTAATTATTAAGATAAAACTTTTGTATTCGCTGATTCATAGTATCGCTAACATACAGATTGCCTTTTTTATCGAATGCAAGATCAGCGGGACTATCGAATTGATTTGATCCACGTCCATACCCATTTCCACCAACAACAACAGTACCTTGTCGAGAGCCTTCAGAGAAACGCATTATTCGATGATTTTTTGAATCAATTACATAAATATTATTTAAACTGTCGACGATTAATCCTGCAGGTTTGTTTAGCTGTGTAAGACTATCTCCCGGACCTTGCCCACCAGCAATAATTACTCCTTTTTTTGCACCTTTTGCCCATTTCATCACACGATGATTCCATGTATCCGATATATAAATTGAATAATCCTGATCGACGAACAAATATGAAGGATTATATAGCTGATTTAAAGCATTTCCATATTCATTCCCACCGGCAACTATTATTGGATGTAACTCTCCTTCATTCCATCGTTTTATTGTGTACGTTGAACCTGTGGGGTCAGTTGAGTCTGTGGAAACAAAGTCTGACATATAAATAGTTCCATTGTGATCGATTGCTATATGCCCACATCTATAGGATAAGATGATTGTTGATTGAGGTTTCTTATCAATATATAACACTCTCATCAATCGATTAGTATCACAAATAACGAGAGTATTTGTCTTCTTGTCAATCACCACATCGCTTGGAGAGCTTAATTGATCTGGCCTATCCCCGGCTCCTTTATCACCTGCAACGACTTCGCCCATTGTTGCATCCAATTTCCATTTAATGACACGATGGGTTCCTCGTTCAGCAGCATAAATTGCAAGTTTACTATCAATATCGATACCACCAGGATAAGAAAGCATACTTAACGGATTAACTTGTCCACTACCTCCAGCAACTGTAATTCCATCTTGTTTCCAACCAGGATGAACGTTTTCTAAGGTAAAAAAGAAACATTTAATAAAAGTTAAGAAAGCTAAAAATAATTTTGTTCAATCTGTTTTTCCATCAACTATAAATTTTGTTCAGAATATTTTGTAATTTTCTTATTCAATATTCGATATCTTTTATTTAGAAGTAGTACATTCAGTGAGATTCTAATTATTATAATAAAAAACTTGCAAATTTCTCTAGTATTTCACAATATAGATTCAGAAATTGTCATAAATGATAAAATATGCTTTCTTGAAAAATATCAAACTTTCCATTAGCAACGTAAAACTGTATGGATTTATGCGAAAAAAATTTTTACTTAAAGGATATTCGAGAAGTCAACTTTAAATTTTATAAACAACTACTAAACATGCCCCTTGCAATAGCTTCCTGTACTTTTCCCACAGCAAAATCGTCTCCTACTGTTTGCTCTGCAGAACCTTCTCGTACAGTTCCGAGTGGGAAATTTATTCTTTTTCGTCTATACCTTTTTGTGACTGTCTCTACTTCAGCTCTGTCCTAAAAGAACTTCGGGCTTTAGGCTAAAGCATACGTGTCATAATAACATTACCCTGCGTAACGGCAGCCGGATGGTAAGATACCCAACGAGATAATCAACGAGTTGGTTGGGTAATCATCTCTTTACCCGTTACGCATTCGAGCTGACACATGTGAGCGGTGAGCTGCTTACGTAACAATATCCGCCAACTAAAGAATCAAGTTTCTTGCAGAGCAAGATCAACACATTAAACACTAGGCGAGGGCGCTGGGAAAGTGCGGCCAGCAGGCAGAGCACTAGATAAGTGTCCAACCAGCTTATATTTCCCAGCTAGACTGCCTACCAGGTAACGAGATGATTACTCATCCAACTCAAAGCTGTCAGCTTGTATGGGTAATGGATAACGAGATGGTTACGCTGTTGGAGAAACATTATGCCAGAAAAATGTGGATGGGGTAACGATAATATGACACTACTCGGTTAAAGACTGAATGCATAACGAACAAACAAACACACAAGCTTTCTTCTTTATATTTATATAGATTCTCGTATTATCTTATGTAAGTACAATGTAACATATTACATAATGATAGAGCATTAAGCTATAATGCAAAGCTCTAGATAATTCATCAATCAGAAATTGATAGGAAACAGAAGTGAAATTTTTCGAACATTTTTGTTAACGGAAAACTACACCTGTTTTTGTTACTGTGCTCATTGTTGCTGTTGCTTTTTTTGTACTAGTCAAGATTTCTGTTGTTGTTTTTCTACTGGCCAAAGTTTCTGTTGTCAATATCATAGATTCTGTTGTTGTTTTTGTGGTGGTCAAAATTTCTGTTTTGAATATTGCTGCTTTTATTGTTGTTGTTGATACCTCTGTCACGTTTTTCTTCTTCGTTGTGACAATGATAGTTGGAACTGAAACAGCGATGACCACAATCAAAATAATTGCAACTATAGAATATATCAGCCGCTTTCGTCTTGATGATCGAACTTCTACAAATCTATAATAAAGTACAATTTAGAATTTTATCAATTGTTTTATGAATACACATACGATACTGTTTCTTGTGAAGTAATTCTTTTTTCAGATTTATCATTGTCAGTTGAATGTAACTAAAATTATTTAATCAGAATTATTTTCATATCTTTCATTTTATAAATCTTACTTCATCATTTATTGTTAATGTTTGATCCATATTTAACACTATTACAAGCCTCACTTTCTTTCTTTCTCGTTAAATGATTATATTAATGTTGAAACAAATTCAGCATCAACGGTTGATTTTCTTTTTAATATTAGAAAATCGTGACAGATGTTATTTATTATTTATTGTGAATAGAAAACATTCTGCAACAAGGAAATGAAACCAAATTGTTTTAAATCAAATTTAAATAACATGAAAAATGTTGTTGTAGTGTTTTTAATAGATACAAATCGATGATAATTTTAATTTGATAAAGAAAGTTTTCTGTTAACCGAGTGAATAAATATAATTCGAACAAACTAAATAAGAATATTATTTTAGATAATTCTAAGAAATCTTATTATGAAATTATACAATATTTTTGCTACTTATATATATATATATACAGATTAACTAAATTGAATGAAGACTATATTTTGATCAACAATATAATCTTTCATACTATTCAAAACACCCTGATCTCCACATGAGTGGCCGGATTTGAATTATAATATAAATGAACTTTCAGCTGCGTGTTGCAACTTTATAAATAAATGAATAGAACAAAAACTAAAATTTTTGTTTATAGTAAAATTCTTTGTAATTCTGATTTGATGCACTTATAGTTCAAATATATGCTTTTCTCTAAAAATAGGAATAGATTTGTTTTAGTCTTACTAAACTTGTAACTCACATGTAGAGGTGTATCTATGTTTCAATATGAATTATTGGTAGGAAAAAGTAAAATTATATTTTCTTCCAACAAAAATTTTACGCTACGAAACATTTTGAAAATCTCCATTTATATTCCAGTAATGCAACTACTCGATTTTCAGTGTTTTTAAAATTACTATTCACGTTTCAATAGGAATAACTACAACAGCTTGCATCCTCATCCTACTCAAAAAATATATAAACTCTTAAATCATAATATTTGTATCTGACATAGAAAACAACTTTTATCTGGTATTATTTGTGTTTTGTAAGAGTTAGTTATCAAGAAAGAGAAAACGCATTATTTTATTTTATTTTCAAAGTTGCGTTTCACGGACAAGTCTGCTGTATCATATTTAGAAAACAAGTCTTTTTTTCTAGGGCTACCATCTGTACCCTCATTTAGACTATTTTTCTTCACATAAAATTAGAATCATCTTTGATTCAAATCAATAAATGTATTGACTGCAATTAACATACCTGCCGCAGTTGGTTAAAGAATTTAGTTCAGATTGGAATCGATATAAGTATCAAAATAATGTCTAAACCTATATTTTTGTGTGCTCAAAATGTGAGTGCACTATAGAATCGGTCAGTATGTCCGGCCGTCCGACCGTTAATCTGATAACTCCTGAAAGAATGATTCAATTTTCATGAAATTTGATACATAGCATTATCTTGTAAATGTCTCGGTCGAGTTCGAAGATGAGCCCGATCGATTGTACTATTACTAACTTTTAAAAAAATTCCCAGATTTTTATGTGTTCCATCTGATACACTTTTTGAAGTACACATGACTTTCGAATAAAGTCCGAAGTTTTCGCATTTATTTTATGTTTCAAAGAGAAAAAATAGAATCTATAATTCTGTACGAAAATACTTTGAAATTTCGAAAGATCATTGAGAATTCTATAAAATAGAAAAGAAAAGTTTTAAAGATTGAAAATAATAAAGAAAAATTTTGTTTTATTACCATAGGTTATGCTGACTCTGATTTTTTTCAATTCTATAAATTTATTCAAGCAGTGGGACATGCGTGACATTGAAAAGTTAGGAAAAAAAGACGATTTTATTGTTCGATCGATATACTTTTTCATTTCGGGGACATAGAAGTTGCCGAGCGAGAAAACAATAGATATTTTCTTCTATTCAATTCTATTTTTGTCTTTCCTGTTTTTCGTGCATTCCAAACCCAACTAAAGTCTCATGTTAGCTTCGATATATTCATTCGCATCGATATAAGAAA